TTTTTTTGTTATTTTTAGGGTTTAGGGTAGGTGGGGGGGGATGGGTGAGGTGGAGGGGTTTTAGAGGAGAGTAGAGTGTTGTATTGTATTGGATTGGATTGGATTGGACTGCCAGATCAGATGAAATGGAGAGCAGATCAGAATCTGCATTAGATAAATGCGGCAGCAGCAGCAGCAGCCTGTTTTAGAAAAAAAAAAAAAAAACTGAACGCCTTCCGCCTTCCTTCTTGCCCTTTCAAATTTTCCATCTTCCCAATGCGTGCCCTTTTTTTGCAGTGTGATTCTTCGTGTGTGGAGTTCGTTATACATATATACAAACATACAAATACGCGTGTACGTATGTATACGCTAGTCGATAGATATACAACGTAGTAGTACACTTCTCCTTGTTTGGACTTTCCGGTCATCCGGGCAACTGCTGCTGCACCACTCTGCTCTGCTCTGCTCTAGTGGCAGAACCAGAACCTGAACCTGAACACCTGTCTACCTCGCGTTCGGACCGGGCGGTCCAATCTCCCCGGGCATCTTCTGCGCGCCCTCGGCCTTGAGCTTCTCGAGCGTCTTGGTGCGCTGGTACTCCATCACCCGGCGCTTCTTGAAATAAGTCACCTGTTGGTTTGCAGACGCAAATCGTTAGCCAGTTGGGGTTGAAAAGAGAAGGAGAGAGGGAGGGCAGAGAGATTGTGTGTGTGTTTTGTTCTGTGGCGGCCTTTGAGAGGTGTGATCCATCTCCGATAAGGCTCGCATGATGTATATAGGCGACACCAGCTTCTGAGTGCGCATCGACAACAGCAACAGGACCAGTATGGCACCAAGGCAGAGCAGAGAAAAGCAGAGAAAAGAGAAGCCTTTGCCTCCTCCCCGACCCTTATATACCCTCTCAATCCCAATTCCGCCACCCTTTCCATCAAAGGAAGACCAGATCAGACAGATAGAGAAAATCGAAAATCGAAAATCGAGAACCGGAAAACATCCAACTCACCCAACTACTAGCACAATTCCCCTCGAACGCCTCCCCTTCCCGCTTGCACGCCTTGGCCGCTCGCGCGCTCTCCCCGATGCTGTCCACAATGTCGTTGCGCTCCAGACAGGCAAAGTAGGCGTCACGCGCCTCCCAGCAGTGAGCGCGCTGCGTGCGGTCGGGGGCGATGGGCGCACCGTCTGAGGAGATCTTGGGGGGTGGGAGGGCGGCCGAGGTGCTGGTGGAAAAGAGACCCATCGTCTTTGAGGTTGGGTTACTTTTTTTCTTTTGGGATATGTATTGGTGGCTGGAGTGGGAATCAGCTACGTTTGTTTTCCTTCCGGGGTTGTGGGTTTGGGGAATTTTACTTACCTGGAGTTGAGGCGACGCAATAGTGATTCAAGTGAAAGTCAGTCCAATGAGTATGGCGTGTTGACGACTTTCTTCCAGAGCTCCGAAGCCCGATGGATACATGGCGGTGGATAGCGGCAGAATGGAGAGGCTAAACTTGCTTCGATACACACTTGTCCTCTCAGCCATCATTCTCAACATCGCATCAGCAAGCATCCCTTCGCACGCCCAACTTCTACCGTCAAAACCCCAACTCTCGAGTCACCACCACAACTCGTAACCCACAAGCAATATGAAAATCAGATAGCCCACACTCTCTCACCCCCTTACAAAGAAAACTCCTCCCACCAGACGAACGAACACAGTGAGCGTGCCATGGTCCGCCGCCGCCGGCCCCCGCGCCCGGGCGCCATGACCGAGCTGCCCCCGCTCAAGATTCTGTCCCAGATCCTCCTGCTGCAGGCACTCTTCTACGTCGCCGCCGCGTCGCTGATCCTGTTCACGGCGCTGGTGGCCGGCCGGCGCTTCTCGCTCGACCTGGTGCTCAGTTGGCGGAGCCTGAGGGGCGACACGACGGTCGGCTGGATGCTGGGTTTGGTGTGGCTGCTGAACAGTCTGATATCGTACGTTTGTTTGTGCTCTTTTCCCCCTTCAGTTTGCGCGCGCATCTCTAGCTGTGATTAATTCTTTCCCTTAACCCCCCCCCCAAGGGATATGCACTGCACCTTACCCATGTCAAGAGTAATTTCGCTGACCGAGTGATTTCTAATCCGCCATACAGGGTCATCGGCATCCTGCTTCTCATCAGCAGGAGCAAACTCGTGCCCGACTTCGCCATCTCGCTCCACCTCATCCACCTGCTCGTCGTGTCCCTGTACTCGCACTCGATCCCGCGGTACCTGCTCTGGTGGATCCTGCAGCTCTCCTCCGCCGCGCTGATGACGGCCCTAGGCGTGTGGGCGTGCCAGTGGCGGGAGCTGCGGCCCATCAACTTTGGCGGCGGCGGCGCTGCGGGCTCGAGTGCGGCGGGTGATGTTCCCGCTGATGGCGGGGATGGGCCGGTGGGTGATGAGGATCTGGGTTTTGGGCGCGGGAGAGGGAGGGGAAGGGGACGGGATGGCGCGGGGGAATACGAGATGGTGGGCATGAAGGAAGGGCAGGGGAGTTGAGGGTTTCTTATGTTTGAAGCCATGATCTTGGAATCGAGACTTTGGATAGGAGAGAGGTGGAAGATGCGGTATGGGGGACCTGGGCTACGGGAGATCCATGCGGTGGAGGGGGGGGGCCATTTTCATGCAAGAGACAACATGTGGCATGCCCACGGAGGAGGAGTCCAAATCCGGAGAAGGCATCAAGGTGCGAAACTAAACGGAGGGACATGTTACGATATTGCTATATGCCTGCCATCCAAGCGGCTGACGGCAGGCTTGTGCTTCAATCGCCGGGATCTGGCATCGCAGGGCAAGACAAGGCGCAAGAGGCATTCATTGGGCGGCGTTCTGGAAGCAGCCGGGACAGTGTACCATCAAACCTTTTTATTTTTTTGAGTCTTTTCATCGGCACTGCCTGCAATTGGGGTTGGGAAATGGAATCAACGTTCCATTAGAGAGAGTTGTTCAAGTCTGTAGTTCAGCTACCCAATTTATTCAGCTCGGCTCGGCTCGGCTACTACCCATGGTCAACTTCCACGTCCCCCTCACAAACGTCGAGTCTGTTGTCCATCCTCTCCACAAAAAACTGTTCTTTGCTCGAATAAATACTATGCCATCACAAGTACGAACTCTCCCTCCCCACGCCCCGGGTCCAGACATTACTCGCAGGACCAACCGGCAACCCATCAAGCTCGATGCCATCATCCTGAGGTGTGAAAATCTGCGTCCCATTCGAACTCAGCCTCTCCATTCTTGGTCTCCAAGCCACTGGGTCAGGAGAACTGGCAGCACTCAAGTCCTCCAGCAATCTCCCAGGTAGTTCCATCGGGCTGACTACCGTGCTGTTCAACGTGCTAGCAGGCGCACTTAGCGCATGTCGGTCATCAAGCTCTGGATGCTCAGCATGCACATCGTCTAGAGTGTGCATCTCTGATAATCTGCTCTTCCTCTGCTGTCGGGCAGAGTTTCTCGCGGATGAGAATGATTTCGGTTTCGATTTCGGAGCCGCGACCGACCCGGACGACGAGAATCTGACGGGCGGATAGAGCGGAAATGCTGGCCTGGAAAGAGGAGCGAGTCCAGACATTTCCTGCGGTGAGTGAACAGGTGACTCGGAGGGATAAGTATACCGTATCCGTGGCGACGGCGATGAACTTCTCGACAAAGCAGCCGCGGCTATACGCCGATCTGCTGCTGCAAGAGCTCCTTCCGATATATTAGCATTCGATAGTGGGAATACAGGAGCCCTGCTCCAATCAACTCTCATCGGACTGCCGCTCGGGGATGCATTTCCACTGGCTGGCGAGTTATAGTGTGCTGGCGGTGTACTGTCGATTGAGCTGTGGATCTCTCCTCGCTCTTGAGCTCTGCGTCTGCGAGTCCTGGCATCACTACTTGAGACAGTGCTTCCCAGCTCAGAGCCTTGGTCCTCGGATCCTCGCATCGGCAGTGCCGAGTGCAAGCTGCCACTCAGACGGCGCTTGAATTTCGCCCAGCGCTTGACCACCAGTTCTCGGACTGGCTGGATGAAGACGTGATGAGGCTCCGAGCGGATGGCTGCCTCGAGACTGTATTTCGATCCAGGCCGAGAGTTCGAAGTTGAGTCTGGATATGTTATTTTCCATTCGCCCTGAGACGATCGCTGCTGTCTTCCGTTGGAGGTTCGATTGCTGGAATAGGCGGGGTGGCCACTGGTCGTCGGGCGACTGGTCTCAGTTCTTGAGGCTCCGTCCAAAATATCTTTCCCATTGCTATCCAATGACCCGGAAGATGCCGAGCCATTGGTGGTATTCACAGTTCGGCGACGGCTTGCTCTTCTGGATGCACCAGTTGAATCGCCGGTACCTGCAACCGAGGTAGAAAATCCAGGAGAAGATGCTCCAAACCGCCTCGGCCAGGCCTGCACTGGCGATGTGTTCCTCGCCTGGTGTCCAAAACTGGGAGAATATCGAAACTGGGTATGCATCCTCAACGAACTGATCATCCTGGGATCCGGCAATCTCCCAGCAGCATACCTATCGAACGTATAGCTCGGAGATGGGATCCCAAGGATGTGATCTGGTGGCAGCGTAAAACATGCTCCGAGAAGCTGTACGGCGATCAAGTGAGCGAGGTCGTGGATGGTACTTGGATCGCAGAAGTAGTTGTCGGATACCGCTCGTCTCTTCTCGGCAAACACGGGCTTGGGACTTGCATCCAGCTCGCGCATCCAGCAGCCGGTAGAGCTATCGCGCACTCGCGGCTGCAGCTTCTTCAAGCGTGTGTATTTCGACTCTTGGGACCACCAGTAGGGACGACCTGTCTGGCAGACGTACTGCCACTCGTAGATCTCCTGGTCGATGATGTTCCACGACAAAGTATCACGGACATGGGCTTCCTCTTTATCGGACGAGCCCTCGTACCCGCGGGAAAGATTGTTGGCGACCGAGGAGAGGGATTTGCGCCCTGACCGCCGCGATCGTTTGGGGTTGGCCATGTACAATACCTGGCTATTTTCGGACTCGTTCGTTGCGGCTCGTCGGCGCGAGGAACGCTCGTCGATGTCTTTTCGGATGAGGGTAGAGAAGTCGGATGTGCTGGATGTTCGGGGAATGCATGCCGGGAAATCTTCCTGGCTCGCGGGCAGGTTTCCCCAGGTTTTCATGATAGTTGTTGTTGTATAGGTGGATGAGCGGGTTAGAAATGTATGTATGGGTTAGGAAGGTGATATAGGTAGCTGTGTGCAGACCGTGAAGGTGGGATGAGTAGGTAGATTCGAAGAGCCGCTAGGCTGAAGGTTATGGGTTGCAAGCTCACGTGACGAGCTGTAGGTCTGTTACTGAATTGGAAGGGGCCGACATCCACATGAAAGTCGTACCTTCCACTGATCAGCAGGCTGTGGGAAGTAGCGATTTTCTGTATATCAATAAACGTCTTGGGAGGCTTCACGGACTCGCTCTTGTAGCGAAAGATCTACCGGTACGTTGAGTAGTTGTTTTGTGAGAGCCGTCTAGACGCAGTTGCCAAGTCGGGCAAGCGGGCGGTAAATACAATAACAACAACAGAGATGACGACAAGTAGACAGCGTAACGTCACATCTCTCCTACAGCACAACCTTCTTCACACATCTTACATCAGTGAACACCAATAGAGCAAGCCTCAAGCCTCAAGCCTCAAGCCTCAATCAAGCAAAACCTCCTCCCTCCTCCCTCCTCCCTCCTCCTTCCTCCTTCCTTATTCATAAGAAAATACCTTCTCCCTTAATTCTTAAATACATTCCATCCTATTCCATGAAATCCATTCGCAAATCTCACCCATACTCACACTCATAGCCACAGCATCTTCTAAGTTCTCACCTCACCTCACCTCATCTCATCTCATCTCATCTCAGACCCCTCCCCCGCCCCCCTGAAGGGCACCTAACGAACGACAGGAAAGGCTTTACGAAAAAAAAAAAAAGCAAAAAAGGATAAACAACCGAAGGCTACAGGCGCCAGCACAACACGGCACCCAATCCCACCATCTACACCGCACAACCCAACCCAACCAAGAAGTTTTAATAAAAAAAAACGACCCGACCCCTCTGAACTCCGAATTCACAATACGAACAAGCCCCTAATCCTAATCCCAACCCTGAATCCTGAGATCGAGAGGTGCGTGCGCGACTAGGCAAGTGAAACCAACCAACCAACCGAGCAGCACGCAAGTCAGAGACAGAGGAGGAGGAGGAGGGTGGTGATGATGATCCGTGAGAGCCTAGTATGTATGTATGTACTATGTATGTATACTTCTATGTGTAGGGATACAGTTACAGTTACGCCTTCACTCCAACCTTCAACCTTACGCCTTCACTTCAACCTTCACTCCCAGAACTAACCTAACCTAACCTGATCTGACCGAACCTAACCTGACCGAACCTGACCGAACCTAACCTGATCGGAGCTAACCTAACCTAACCTGACCGAACCTAACCTAAGCCCCCCCCCCCAAAACCAAAAACCAAAATTAAGCGAGGAGGAAAGAGACGTACCTACCTACCTACCTAGGTACCTACCTACCAACCACCAACTACCAACTACCACCATCAAGATCCGACACCCCAATCCCAGTCCCAGTCCCAGTCCCCTGCCCAGGTGTGCGTGCACATCATCATCATTATCATCACATCACATCACATCACGGGACAAGCTCACCCACCACTCGTTCACCATGGGCTTCGGCAGAAGCAGAGAGAGACCAGACAGGCAGACAGACACACAGACACCCAGACAGGCTTTTTTCTGTTATTAGAGCTATTCAAATATAGCCACAGCTCGGATTATAAATACGCCTGGTGAGACCAGTCTCACATGCCACACCACAAACACGATACGAAATTAGTGGGATTTTACGTTCTAAGCCCAAGCCACCTCCCTAGTCATAACCACATGCGTCCATCTAGTGTAGTTCGCTCATATTCGTATAGCCGGAAGAGGCAGTACAGCAGAGGTGGGGAAAAAAAAATAAAAAAAATATGCACATTTTCCCGTCCATGGTATTCCGTTCCAAAACAAAATTGCAGCAGGCGCGCTCAAGTATCTCAAATCAGACGATTAACATGAACCCCAATGTAACAATAGCGACAGCGACCCACGGGTTCCCCCTCGTGGATTCCGCCGCACTCAGGAAAGGCATGGCAGTGACGTTGAGCGGGCCACCATACGGGTATCCAGGGTTGCCGTTGGCTCCTGACGCGACAGGGTAAGGAACTGCCGAGTAGACGGACACCGTGTCCCATTTGACTGGCGGGAGCCCTGCAGGTGGGCCTAGAGTAGGACTTGGGCGGTAGGTCACAGCTGGATCTGGCAAGACTTGCAGGGGAACTGGGAAAGAAATCGGAATTTTCGGTGCGATAGGGGCCGGGTTGGCAACTAACTCGAGTGGGATGCTCGCGTAGCCTGTCGTCGTTGCGAGTATGTACTTGTCTATGCGTACCTTGGTCTTCTCGGGTACGACTGTGGTAGTGACCTTTCCTATCGGACAATCTGTGACGGATGCTGCGCACGCGGTGATGGTGTAGACCTGGGTGGCGAAGATGGTCTTGGTAACGGCGTTGCTGCTGAACGTGTAAATCGGAGTATTTAATGGAGTGGACTCCGGGGGAGGGGAGATGGCCGGAGCAGCAGGATATCCAACTCCTGGGTTGTGAACAGCGGGAGGCCCTGATCCAGGGACGTAGGCGGGAGATCCATCACCTGGCGTCTGAACAGCGGGAGGTCCTGATCCAGGAACGTAAGCGGGAGATCCAGGGATTTTGGCGGGAGATCCAGGGACGTAGGCGGGAGATCCGGGGACGTTGGCGGGAGATCCAGGGACGTAGGGGGAGATCCGGGGACGTTGGCGGGAGATCCAGGGACGTAGGTGGGAGATCC